CATGTGGAGGAGTGGGGGAATCAAACCCGGTTCTCCCAGATTAGAGTCTGTGCACTCCTAACCACGACACCAAACTGGCTCTACACCAAGCTACTTCTTCCTCTGCGTTTCAAGCGCTGTCGACTTATAGCAACTCCAGCAAGGGGCTTGCAAGGCAAGGGGGAGGTAGAATTGCTTGGCCATTGCCTCCCTCCTCTGCAGAGTCTTCCATGGTGGCCTCCCAACCAAGTACTGACCCTGCTTAGATTCTGAGATCTGACTACATCAGGCTATACGGTATCATTCCACACCCCAGCTTTCTTAAAAAAAAAAAAGTCTCTAGTCCTTATTGTGGTAGGGCTATGCCTTTCCCCTTGTATCTCTGTAATGAAAGAAGGGAAAGACCCCCCCCCCTTTTAAAGTGAGCTTAGAATTCAGAGGAGCCAACAGACTGTTGCGATGCGACAGCGGTATGTCAACTGCTGATATTTTCCAAACACCCAAAGCCGCCTTCCGGTGATGCAGAGACACTGTGGGAAGTGGAGGCCAGGACAGGGTGAGGGAAGTCTCCCTGCGGCTGCTCCATGGCCACTGCAGCTGCCGCTGCATCCCCAGCAGGCCGTGAAAGCGAGGAGGAGAGCCCTTGCCCCGTAGGGCAGCAGCCCTGGCTTCCCTGAGCGGCCTCGCTGCTGTCACTCTCCTTTCAGCAGCCCTGCTGACGTCCACCCGCTCCACAGCCCACGGGGCCCCACGGGCCACGCAGCAGAGGCACCCGCGGGGCTGGCCTCATCCCGCAGAAAGGGCACGTGAAGCACGCCTTCGGCAACCACCACAGCAGTGCCGAAAGGGGGACCCTCAAAGATTACCTGCTGCAGGAAAGACAAGGCGCAGGAGGCAAAGACAGAGGAGCTTCTGCCTCCGAATGCAGCCAGGGTTGGGCGGAGGACAGGCGGGCGAGAGCCGGCCATCTGGCCCCAAGGCCAAAAAAGCTCTTCCAGAACTCATGGACACCATGCCAAAAAAGTAACTCCCACTAGGTGTCCAAAACAGTCCGGCTGAAAAACAGAGACCTTCTCTTAAGCTAAATTTTGGAAAGAAAGAGCAGCTGGAACCATCTGGAAAACATCTGGTAGCTCTATTCCCCCCCCACTCTGCCTGCAGCTTGCTAAGAACCATGGCTGTTAGCTGCCCCAACACGGGTGTGTGTGTGTGTGTGCTCTGCTGCCCTTTGGATGACCCCCAGGGTGAGCCAAAAGCCTTGCAGCACACCCGGGACAGCTGATCCGGAGATCCGGCACCTACTTGCAGCTAGATGAAAGAGGAACAGCACACGGGGGGGGCACACGGGGACAGTGGGCATGGATGCCGGGCCTTATCTGGCCTCTTGTCCCTCCGCCCACTAGGCCATACTACTTCCCTTTTCCTCTGAGCACAGCTTTCAGATCTGCGTGTCACTGCAGCCAGTGCTGCCTAGCAAGTCTGACGGCAGAACTCCACCTTCTTAGGGCCGGATCTTTCCTGCCGCAAAGAGGCAGGGCGAGAGGCTCCTGCGCGTGAGAGCCAGCCTTCAGCAGGCCTCTCCCCCGGCCAGTCACCCCTCCCCTCCCCTCCCACCACGGAGGAAGCCGCCTTTCAGAAGCAGCGGCCACCCCAGGAGCACCCCGAGACTCCCTTCCTCTGAAATTTGGTCCATGGCTGCCAAACTCAGGTTGTCAACTCTGATGGGGGAAATCCCTGGAGATTGGGTGTGTGTGAAGGGGGGGGGACGGTTTGGGGAGAGACCTCAGTGGGGGATCAGGCCACAGAGCCTCCAAAGCAGCCGTTTTCTCCATGGGAACTGATCTCTGTTGCCCGGAGACCAGCTGGAATTCTGGGAGATCTCCCTCTCCCTCTCTCTCTCCTGCTCCCCCCCCCCAGGCCTCCGGCAACAGGCCAGAGGGAGCCCCCCCCCCAGCTCTCAGGTGAAGGCACTTTTTGGGCCAGCCAGTCACAGTGAAGTCGGCAAGCACAGTCCCCACTGAGGCAGGATTCTGCCCGCTTCCTCCCGCCGTGGCCCGCTGGCCCCAGAAGGGCAGCGTCAGGGGGGCCATGTCTTCCCAGCGCCCTCACTCTGACCTTTGGGTTAAACGCGAAGCTGCCGGTCAGTCCCCGAGGCAGCAAAGACACGACCTGAAAGGGAGTGCCCGCCGCCTGGTGGGAGAACACAAACCACCACCGGGGGCTGGCGAGGCTTGACTCTGATGAGCCTAAAACCCCGGAGGAGACTGCCAGGCAACCCCCCACGGCCCCCTCCCTGGAGAAGCAGGCCGGGGGACTCTCCGTTTAAGGCTCTGCGCAGTCCGGCTCAGGCGAACACAGTGAGAAAGCCCGCCAGAGGCCAGTTCGGGGAGGAGGCTCTGCTTGGGAGGTCCCAGGGAAACGCAGACGTGCCCTCGGAAGCCGGGCTCAGGACCTGGAGGGGGACTGCCCCTCGACATCCAAGACCCACGGCCCCAAGAGCCCCAGACGGGCTGCCAGAGGGTGGGCGGTGTCTTTCCCCACCGAGACAGAACCTGGGTGGAAGGACTGCCCCTCGACATCCAAGACCCACGGCTCCAAGAGCCCCAGATGGGCTGCCAGAGGGTGGGCCATTCCTTCAGGGCCCCAACTCCGGCAGGAGGCCAGGCCAGCCCGCCTTCCACGCAGGCCACCTGCGCCCCCCCCCCGCTCCTTGGCCTCTAGAGGCCACCCTCCCTAGCCCGGGACGGGGGTCCGCCCAGACCTCACGGCACCCAACCCTGTGGGGCCAGAAGCCTCCCAAAGGAGCTCTGCTCTCGAGCTACCACCAGGGGCCAGTGCTGTGAAAGGGCGGCAGACTGCCTGCCCTCCTCTCTGAGCTGTCCTTCGGAGGAAAAGGGAGGGAGGGGGCAGTTCTGACCCACCCTATAAACTAAGCCCAACCCGAAACGACCTGCAGTGCTGCTGTCTGCAGCCTCTCCCCCATCCTGCCCCCATCCCGGGCACGAGAGGGGCTGGGCCCAGGACACTCCCGCTGGTCTGGCCAGCAGGGCAGCCTTCCTCCTCCTCCTCCTCCACCAAAAGGCACAGTTGGCAAGCAGCAGAAGAAATGGCTTCGCAGTGCCAGAGGGCTTCCTCTTCCCACCTGCCTTCTTGCAGCCAGCCACCAGGACGGCGGGCAAGCAGGGGCAGTGCCCCACCCACCCAGGGTGTCGCCGCCACCCCTCTTCGCAGCCGCTTCTCTCCCGGGAAGGCGAGTCCAGCAAGAGCAGCAGCCACCGCCCAGGGCCACGGCTCTTTGGCAGGCAAAGCGTCCAGCAGGCAGCAAGTCCAGGGCAAGGCACCGAGGCTGGAAGGGGACCTCGCAAAGGCGGGGCCGTGGAGGCGCTCCGGGCGGCCTTCGGCTCCTACGCCAGCAGCCCCATGCGGGTCACTTTGGCCGACAAGAACGTGTGCAGGACGAAGACGACGGGCTTGGGGCAGGAGAGCAGCTCCAGCGTCTGCGGAGGAAGCAGCACATAGCCGGAGTCACCGTCTCACACATACTGATGGCACATTGTCCCTGACAAGGCAATTTTACTTGCACTCTTAGGACCTAAACTGGAAGGAACATGTTAGTTCCAGTATATACAACTACTTCTGACACAAGGCCAGATATATTTGTGGCTCCAACCAGAAATGTTTTGGTCTGTCTTTCAATTCCATATTGGAACGTTCCAATTTTGATCCTATTTTATTTATTGTTAATTGCCTCACATGTGTTACAGGGACTCTGTTGCTTGTTGTGTTTTACACTATTTGACCTCTGAAGAAGGCTCTTGTGAGCTGAAACGCGTCAGGTCATATACTGTCTTTTTTTGTGTGCATTTGCAACTTTAAACATTTTATGAGGCTTTATCTGGGCCCCTAATAGGTTTTTATATGTTTTTGTAATAAACACTCTTTTGTACACTTACTTATGTTTTTAACTTTTGGCCCTCAATAAGTTTTCTAAACTTTCTTTGGAGGTTTGTGCTTGGTTGGTTTAGATTCCCCCCCTCTTTTTTTTGGGGGGGGGACTCCAACCACAACACCACACTGGCCCCGGCAGACCGTCACGGGACTGGAAGCAACAGCCGGCAAGCACAGTCATCCGGCAGCCTCCTGTCAGCTATCCCATCCCGCAGGTGCCCTGCCTGGCATTGACCAGAGACCGGGCCTTTTCCATCATGGCTCCAAGCTCTGTGGAAGAGGTGCCCTGAAGAGGTGAAGCGGGCCCCCCTCCTTGGAGACTGTCAGGAAGCACTGCAAGGCCTGCCTGTTTGCGAGGGCTTTGGGGAGGGAGGCTGGAACTGGCAGGAATCTTTGACAGGAGATGAGAGAGGGCTCGCATTGGCTTTTTTACCTCTGGTTTTAAACTGAGAAGTTTTTAACTATTATTGTAGGCCACTTTGAACTGTAAGGAAAGGCGGGATATAAATGCTTTAATCAATAAGGGAGCGCGTGGGCTGGAAGAGAATCGGGGCCACTTACCAGCTCCCCCTCCGGACCCCCAAAATCCAGGTAGAGATTCCTGATGCCGTCGTCAGCGGACATTTTTAGCTTCTCAAACGGGTAGCGGAAAAGGATGCTGACAGAGCCCCCCTCCTCTCTGGAGACGGTGAAGCCGTTTTCGTAGTGGATTTGGAGGCGGACCTCCTGGCTGTTCAGTATGCAGCCTGCAACCAAAAGAAAGCCATGAGAGCAACTCTGCCCGGCCTCCCAGTGGAGTGCTTCCAGCAGATAAACCGAAGAGACAGCGCAGGCAGAAACAGAGGGAAGGAGAAAACAAAACACCCGTGCAAGGTCGTCCCCTTTATGGCAAGACACAACAGAAATATTACAACTATGCAATGATACAGCAATAGATTCTTCTTCCGAAAGCATGCTGACCACTGACTCTGTCAGTCACCAGTTTCACTGATCAAACTGGTCAGCAAAAGAGGCTACAGTCGATGCCATTGGTGTGATTAGCCGGAAGGTGGCTTCCCCCTTTCTTTAAGAGGTTCAGAATGTATACGTAGAAGTCATAGATCCAGAGAAGTTAGCCCTGTTAGTCTGTTGCTGCAAAATAATAAAAAGTCCAGTAGCACCTTTAAGACTAACAAACTTTATTGTAGCATAAGCTTTTGAGAAACACAGCTCTCTTCGTCAGATACATCTGACAAAGAGAATTGTGTTTCTCGAAAGCTTATTCTACAATAAAGTTAGTTAGTCTTAAAGGTGCTACTGGACTTTTTACTATTACTTAGAAGTCGTGTAACTTCCTTCCAAACTGTGTTTTTGATCTGGAACCATAGGAATTTCCAGTGAAGAAATTCTTCTTCTGAAGAGGAATCTGTTATTACAGCATTATATCATTATAATATTTCTTTATCATGTCTCATTATAAAAATTACAAACTTGCACTGTCGCATTAATTGTTCCTTCCCTCTAGTACATGTTTGTCCCTCTGTTTTTGGTGGGGGTGGAGGGAGGCCGCACAATCTAGCCGAGGCATTGCTGCTGCTGTGGCGTAATGGGAAATGACTCCACCCCATCAGTGGCCAAGCAGAGGCCAGGAAGGAGAAGGCAGAGGCAAGGGAGCCACTCCCAGCAACAACCCCATCCTGCTGGCTGAGGGCTGTGCTGCCACAATGGCTCCCCAGAGATGGGGGGCTGTCCAGCTCAAAGGCCATTTCCTCCTGGCACTGGGGTCATGCAGGAGCTGCTCTTGCTGGGATGCCTGGAAGCCTTGGGGGTTGCATGAAACATGATTAGGAGGAAATGGATCATGGGGCAACCTTGCTACCAGGTGGGTGGGCAGGTGGTGGTGGGGAGACAATGCATTTCAAGGGTTGGCGTTTGGGGAGGGGGGCTTTCCATCTTCACAGCAGCACATTCATGGAAGTGGAAAGGAAGTGCGTTGGGGTTTCACTCCACCCTGGAAGCCCCAAGCAGAGCAAAAGAGGTTTCCAGGCAGGGGAGGCCAAAGAAACCTTGTGTGGGAAGGAAGTGGGGACCCCTGGCTGAAACCCCTGCCCAGCCACAACACTGACAGTTAGAGCAGTTCCTCAGTGGAACAGGCTTCTTCGGGAAGCGGTGGGCTCTCCTCCTTTGGAGGTTTTCAAAGAGAGGCTGGATGGCCATCTGACAGCAATGCGGGTTCTGTGAACTTAGGCAGTGACCCTGGAGGTCCCTTCCAACTCTATGATTCTATGATGGATGCCCAATGCCTAGTTCGGCAAACACTGTGATATAAATGACTAAGACATTTAGTAACAATCATATTATATTATAAATAAAACTTTGCAATATTACAAGTCCATCATTCTCAATGAGCACCCAGATATAAACTCATTTCGTCCAAATCTTCCTCAGAAGTCATCCTACTGTACTGAAAAGTGTCAGCCTCTTGCTACAGCTCAATGTTCTGTTAGGAACAAGCCAATGCTTCTTTATGTTCTTCAGATAATCCTGGAAAATAACCCATGGTACTTTAAATGAAAAGCAACATGAAGCTGAATGGAATATTATTTAAGTTTTTCATATTAATGTATCATTTAATTATTTAATTATTTAAAACTTACTTCTGGTTCCATTTCAAGTGTTTGTAAAGGGGCCTTGTCTTCTTTAACTAGGTGCAGAGGCCTTCTATATTACGCTGGCTTAAGAGCTCTCCATGAACACTGTATAAATAGTAGTAGCAAACCTGTCCTCTTTTCTATTCTTACTAAATGTCTTAGTCATCATTTATATCACAGTGTTTGCTTGTTTGCTGCACTTCCTATATGGAGACCTGTGATCCCTCTGTCTTTGGTGTAGTGGTTAAGTGCGCGGACTCTAATCTGGGAGAACCGGGTTTGATTCCCCACTCCTCCACTTGCACCTGCTGATGTGACCTTGGGTCAGTCACAAGCTCTGGCACAGCTGTCCTTGAAAAAGAGCAGTTTGTGTCAGAGCTCTCTCAGCCCCACCCACCTCACAGGGTGTCTGTTGTGGGGAGGGGAAGGGAGAGGAGACTGTAAGCCGCTCTGAGACTCCAAGTGAAGGGCCATGGGGTATAAATCCAATCTCTTCTTCTTCTTCTTCTTCTTGGGTTTTTTCCCCACTGACTAGTTCAACCTACCCCAGGAAGTCAGGTAAGAGGCGACCAGCCAGAGGGTCATGCAAAAAAAGACTCAGTTGTGCCCCTGGGTATCAAACGATAATGGCCAAGTGTATATAAGAAATAGACGGAGGCTCAAAGCTCAGAAAGAGATATACACCACAGGGTGGGCACCATGGAGGACCCGCAATCACGGCGACACTCAGAGGCGACCCTCGTGTCTGCAGGACGTTCCGTGCCTCGCTCTTAACCAGGCACTCCAGACACCAAATTCCCCTGCCATGAGGGGAGTTGCCTGCGCATTCTGCCAGGAGAAGGAAGGGCTGTCGTTCTCCGGCAGCCACTAGAGGGAGCCTGAGCCGCAGGGAGGAGCTCAGTAAAAGCCCCCCCAGGGAAAGACCCAAAGCCAGCCCTTCACCGGCAGCCTGCAGGGCTCAAGCCCGGACGATGGCAACGTGACTCCTCTGCGTAGTCTGTGAAGGCGTCGGAACCAAGGCCTCATATCCCAGGCATTCCAGTCCCAGTTAGGCCCCCAGAAAGATCCGGCAGCCCCTCCCTCAATACACTCCCCCGCCCCCCCCAGCAGCAACAGAGGGACGGGGCTGCTGGCGACGTACGTACCCAGAGACACCTCCTTGATCAGCTCTGCGGCCGAATGGCAGCCCTGGACCAGGATCCGCGTCCAGGAGGAGAGATCCCGGTGCGTCTCCGCGCGGAACACGTGCATCTCGATGCCCTGCCGCGTCCCCGTCCTCGTGGCAAAGGTGAGATCGGATCCCGCGCAGGGGGACCTGTTCCCACCGCCCGAGTGGACCAGCCTGCCAAGAGGAAACGGCACTCGCCAACCAGGCCAACTGTCTCTCCGGCAGAAAGGGTGATTTTGCCGACCGAGGTCTGGAATGCTGTTCAGAATCCGCCCCGCAAGATGGGACAGGAACATTTGGCCGGGCTCAGAGACACGAGGCTGCCGGAACGGGGGCGTGAGCGGCCTGGCTCCCAAACGGCTGGCTGGCGGGATGCTTGGGAGAACACCTAATTGGATCCAGGTGCGGGGCTGCCCCTCCCCTCTGGGGCTCGGGCGGGAGGCTTCCAGCCAGTGACGCCGGTTCAGCCAGCCTTGCACGAGCTGCCCCGACAGGCACGGCTCGCGAGCCCACAGCTCGGCACTCCCAGCTTCTAGTCAGGGAGGCCGCCCCCCCCCCGCCCCATCCAGTGCCTGCCGGACAACAAGCCCGGTGGGTGCAGCTGGCAGCCTCTGCCACTCAGCCCTGCCCTGGCCCTCGGCAAGAGAGAGGGGGATTCTCTGCAGCGGATCCACAGAGCCCGACGGCCCAGCACCACCAGCAGGATTTGAGCCAGACGGCACTGTGCCAAAGCAAAACCCGTCTGTGTCCAGCATTTCAGCCCCAGGTCGTTATGAGCACCCCTCACGCCCGAGGGATGAGGCAGGCTGGAGGCGGAGCCCTGCGTGATGCATCCGGTCTGGTTCCCAAGCCCTGTGGACTGCCTTGGCTGATGCTGCGGCCTTGCAACCCAGGCTCCCTCTAAGCTGTGGAGCCCTGTGAGCAAAAGTTCTACTTCGTGAGCTACCAGCATGAAAGCTGTGAGCGAGCGATTTGGCTACTACATAAACAGGTTTGCTCTGGAGCCCTCCTTCCTGAGCTAAGACACAAATGTGTAAGCCGGAGGTTAAAAAACCTGTGAGCTAGCTCACACTAACTCAAGCTTAGAGGGAACAGTGGAATGCTACGCTGTGGAGTCTTGTGAGGAAAAGTTCTACTTCGTGAGCTCCTGGCATTAAAGTTGTGAGCGAGCCATTTGGCTTCCGCATAAATGAGTTCGCTCTGGAGCCCCGTCCTTCCTGAGCTAAGAGAAAAGGGTGTGAGCCGGAGGCTAAAAGACTGTGAGCTGGCTCACACTAACCCAGCTCAGAGGGAACACTGCTTGCAACCAGAACCCACTGCTGCTCCTTCAGGGCCTTGAAAGACCCCAATGCCACTGAGGGAAACCTGACAACACCCAACCACTGCCTAATGGAAGGCAGCCACAGTAGGCTGAAGCTTGACAAAGATACGGCAGCCGGCCGGCCACGCCGACACCCGTTGTCGGATCCCCTGCAGGGCCCCTGGAACGCCTGTGAACCAGGACTGGCTGCTTTGCGAAGCCGTTTCAAGACCTCCCGGGGAGTTTGCCTCCCCCCCCCTCCTACCTGGTGGCAAGAAGTGGGTAGCTGTGGCAGGGGGCTGCCCAGGCGTCCCTGGTCCACGGCATGCAGTCGTACAGCAGCAGGTCCTTCTCCGTCACGGCCACGAGAGCCGGCCGCCACAGCTGTCTCCCTCCCTCCAGCCTGGCCTGGGGGAAGCCGGGGGGGGGGGGAAGAAAGGGGGGGTTCAGTTCAGTTCAGTTCATTTCTACAGTCCTTAGACCAGTCACACAAAAAGAAGTACACCTTTACAATATTCCAAGATTTTAAAATACATCAGTAAAACATTAAAAGCAGATTAAAATTTAATCTAATATCTAAGGGCCATAACTACCTAACTACCACAGGATTTCCGTAATCTGAGTATCGGCGTACAGAAACTGGCTACTTGGTGGGTAATCTTGGGATTTCTATCAGGTAGAAGAAACTCAAGTCTAGCTTTTTTGGAAAGAGAAAAGGTGTGTGTGTGTGGGGGCGCTGCCTCGAGGAGCAACAAGGACCCCACTTTTGCAGGGAGCTGCCGGAACACAGAATGAACCGGGGGGAGATGGCCGACCTCGGGAGTTGCCAAGTTCCTCTGCTGGGACCTGCCCCAAAGCTCGAGAACAGGAGAGCTCTGGGCCCGCCTGCTCCGTGGAGGGGAGACGCGGAACAGGAATAATGGGCCAGCCATCTACTAGGACAGGAACAACCAGAACGCTGAGGGCCCCTCTGCAAAGAACAGAACGTAACTACATTTGCCAGTGTCAAAAACCAGCCAGCGTAGATCAGCCCCTGGACCCCTTCCAGCCTGCCCGAGATGTGTTTGGCCTTCGAGAGTGGGGACGGGGGCTCGCCAGGGGCACTCTCTCTGCAGTAGCTCCCCCTCCCCAGGAGGACGCATCCCGTTCACGACCCCATCAGCCAGCATGGGGGGGGGGGCCTCCCGCACTCCACCCAAGAAGCTCTGAGTGTCTTAGAACACCAGCATTTGCTGTTCGAAAAGCCAGCTCAGTCAGGAGAACAGACAACATTTGCTTCCCTCCTTGGAACAATCCCCTGCCGCTCCACCTCACCACCACGTCTGACTTCTGCTCTGAAAAATGCAGGGGCCCCGTAGGACACGAGGGTGGGAACCCCTGCAATCCCAACCACAGCCAAGACCGTCCCTCGAATCTCAGCCTTGGCTGCACATCTCCAGCTCTTCCACTTTTGCACTGGAGCCAGAAGAGACGTCCCGCTCCGAAGACTCAGCCCCGGCCAAACAGGGAAGGGACCGAGCCTCTCCCCCACCCTCGCTGACTGAAAACCCCAACAAAGATGGGAAGGGTCCTGCCGGGAGCTCTTTGCATTCAGGGCGGAGTTTGCAAAACCTTAACAAGGAAAGGGCACCTGCATAGCCGGCTCTGCTGGGCAGTGAGCAGAAGGCGCATTCTGGGTCGCGACTGGGAACTCCTGAGAGGATGAGGAAGACGTGCCCACGTGAGAGGCCAGCCTGAGACTTCGAGCCAAATGCACGCTGCAAAGGCAGCCCTGGAGGGGGCCACACCTCTCCCTCCAGGCTCCCCCCCCCCAAATGGCGGCAAGTTCCCACCAGCCACCAAGAAGCCCACGTGGAGCTGCTTTATACTGAATGAGACACCCCCCCCCCCCACCCCCTGGCCCATCAAGGTCAGTCTTGTCTACTCAGACAGGCAGCCACTCTCCAGGGTCCCGGACAGAAGAGGCTCTTTCTCGTCACCTCCTGCCTGGTCCTTTCAACAGGAGATGCTGCTGGGGATCGAACCGGGGGACCTTCTGCGTGCCAAGCAGATGCTCTGCCACTGAGCCACGGCCCCTCCCTAGCACCTATCTCAGGAAGCAGCAGGTATCGCTCCGAAGTCCGCAGCAGGCCTCCCAAACAGCCCTTCTGCCTCCTGGGGCTCCGAAACCGACAGCCAGCCCAAGCCCCCTGGCCCCGCCTACCTGCTCGGCCAGCCACGCCACGTGCTTGACCTCCCTGCA